ATGTTGAGACATTGATATGTACATGAAAAGTACATATAATATTTTACTAAACAACAAGAATATAGACTAACAACTACACAGGCATGTACTATGCCAATCCTGATAAACTGGGACTTCATCTATTCAGCATTTCAGACTTGGATTCTAATATATAATGCAAGAAGCCGCCAAATGTGTTTCTACATGTTTCTACATTGTATATTTTCTAACATACAACTATCATATCAATACAAATCTAGTTTGGCTGTGGATAAGATGTGCAATTTGTGATTACAGATATAAGTTTTGAAACAAACATGGAAGCTTGACAGAGGCTCATCTCTGCTGGAATTGTTCAAATTGGAAACTGTAGGCCTTTTCGTGTATAACGACTGCCAAGTGAATGTTACATGGATTGTGTTTAGGTTTGCTGCAACTGTCTGTGTCATTCCTTGTATGGCAATGTTTTGTTGAAAAAACTGTGAAGATAAAATACAACATTTTTTCAAAAACTTCAAACGTCAGTTAATATGCAAATCACTGTCTGTCGTCTGCTCCCATTGTTTCCACTGGCAGTCGGGTTCAGACACCCCGTGGCTTATAATCCATTTATGATGTTGGGAGGATGTGCGGGGTCAATTTAGCTACTAGATCCTCACAGGGGATAGTTTCTTTATTGGTGGAGGACCCTGGGTCCTCCAAGTGCCTCTTTAAGCAATAATGACATCACTAACATTCAGGCTGGAACTTTCAACTCAACACCACAACTGAGAGAGTTGGACCTGTCTAACAACAAGTTAACAACCCTCAGAGCCGACATGTTCACAGGGCTGGGGAACTTGGGGTACCTTTCCCTGTACAGTAATAACATCAGTGATATTCAGGCTGGAACTTTTAACTCAACACCACAACTAACATGGTTGGACCTGCCTAATAACAAGTTAACAACCCTTAGATCTGACATGTTCACAGGGCTGGGGAACTTGGAGAGCCTTTCGCTAGAGAATAATGACATAAGTACTAGTGATATTCAGGCAGGAACTTTCAATCCAACATCACAGCTGAGATACTTGTGGCTGTATGACAACAAGTTAACAACCCTTAGAGCTGGAATGTTCACAGGCTGGGAACTTGGGGTACCTTTCGCTGCGCGATAATAACATCAGTGATGTTCAGGCCGGAACTTTCAATCCAACACCACAACTGAGAAGCTTGTCCCTGTCTTATAACAAGTTAACAACCCTCAGATCTAGACATGTTCACAGGGCTGGGAAACTTGTTGGCCCTTTCGCTAGACAATAATGAGATCAGTGATATTCAGGCTGGAACTTTTAACTCAACACCACAACTGAGATACTTGTTCCTGTACAACAACCAAATTCAAACCATTCCATCCAACTCGCTGACAAATCTGATGCAACTGAGGTTCCTGAAACTGTCTGACAACAGCATCACAACATTTCCCTTTGATGAGTTGTCAAGACTTCAAAGACTTTATCAACTTGACCTTTACAATAACCAACTGACAACCCTTCCCTCTATTGCCTATGACATACTTTCATCCATCTCTACTGTAATCATTGGCAACAACCCCTGGCAGTGTGACTGTAGGATGGTGGACTTCAGGCTGAAAATGACAGGGTCTTATCCTTTTGAAAACCAGATCACTTGTTCCCAACCTGACAGCCTCCATGGGCTAAAGCTTAAACATGTCAGTCCTGAAGATCTGATTTGTGAAGATCCAACAACTGGTTTGATGTCCCCAGTTACTTCCCCTCCACCTACCACCGTAGCTACGGAGATCCCAGAACCCAGTACTGTCCAGAACTCTTCTATAACATCTTCACCTGTTTCTGGTGTCTTTTCACCTTGAAAACAAACCGACCCTGCGCTCACTTTGTCCCTACTTGGTCTTCACTTCTTGGTGCTGTTTTTGGTTCAGTAGCAGGTGCTGCCCTCATCATTGGTGGCATCATTTTTTACAATCAGACTGAACAAGTATCGGAAGAACAATACACCTCCCTGATGCCTGCACCAAAATACTTTCCACTGTACAAACACTAATGTACAGCTGTTAACTACAACTAAGGCCATTACTGCCCTAATTTTATGGATTACATCTTCTAAAGACCCCCAAACTAGTGTGTGCGGGCGAATAAAAAAAATTCCAGCCCAAAATACAAAGCTGGTATTGTGAATTTGCGGTACATAGCGATTTTTACAAGCCAGCACATGCTGGTCTTTTATGAGTCTGCACTGTACTGATTTCTTGGGTTCCGTGGGGCTCCAGCAGCCTGGGTGCCGTCATCCATAGTTACAACTGGCTCCCTACATGTAGCTACCATGGACTACAGAGGATGGCACCCAGGCCAGAGCGTCAGAGGTGATGATTTTTTTGAGAACAGGGAAAATCGCGGATGTTATCCATAATATTAAATCAGTGTGGCCTAATAGGTATAATACCGGTGCAATAGCTCAATTGGTAGAGTGCTCGCTTTGTAACCGGGAGGTCGTGAGTTCAAACCCCGGCCGGGTCATACCAAAGACTTTAAAAATGGTACACACTTCTTTCTCTGCTTAGCACTCAGCACATATGAGAAAGAGTGTGGGAAGGTCAAACACACAGCACTACCAGTGGACCAGCCCCCTGCTGTAGTGCATTGCACAACTGTGTGTCGCCCAAGGGCTACAGAAATGGATATGGGCACCACCCTACGCTCTGCATAAGGGCACGGGAGACCTTTCCTTTCCTAATAGGTATGATATAATGAAAGAGAGATGAAGTCCCCTGATTCCTTCAAATGGAACATTGCATTGTGAGCTCTAGACCCAGCCAGACACACATGCAGATCCAACATAAACTTTACTTTGGACAATCATACTAATTGATGCATTTTGTCCTACTCAGTGCATAATGTGTTGAAAATGTTCACTTGGTAAAAGGATGACTTAGATTTAGCAGATCACTCTATAAGTCTAAATACAACAAACCCGTTAGAATCTGATACCTGTGCAACTGCCAGATATATGATTTTATATAAGAGGACATTTTTCTGTCATATGATTGGATAGAGGTGCTAATAAAGTTCCTGAAAATTTTGGTAGACTAAAATCTGTATGACGGACTCCAGACCAACTTCCTACTGTGGGGTCGTGTGGCGCAGTCGGTAAGCGCGTTCGGCTCACACCCGAGAGGTCGTGGGTTCGAACCCTGCCCATGTCACCAATCTTGTGCCCTTGGGAAAGGCACTTTACACGACTTTCCTCACTTAACTCAGGTGTAAATGAGTACCTAGCTTCGGCTAGGGACGTCCCTCGGATAGGATGTTAAATGGAGGTCCCGTGTTTGGGAGAGCCACACCCTATGCACGTTAAAGAACCCACCGCACTTATCGAAAGTAGGGGACGAAGAGTAGGGGACCTTCCCGGTGTGAGTGGTTCAAACCTTACAGTCTGGTCTCGGGGTTGACATCTTTGAAGAGGTGATAGTCACCTGTTATGTCAATCCTTCCACAAATGTGGTAAATCGTCATAAAATAAAGATACTGGTTTCTGGGAACTTCCTATGTCAGACCTTCTGTGGTCTGTGGTTAGGGAATTCCTCCACCCACGTGTGTCACTCAATTGTACGAACACACAGTCAGACACACACAAACACACAAAAACACTATCCTCCATACATGGAGGCAAAAACCAGCCTGAATATCATTTATGCAGTCAACATGTAATATAGCTATCCTTGAGGCTACATATTACATGGTCCCTACATTTGATAATATCCTTGAAAATCCATTTTCTCAGCCCAGATAACAGCAATAAGGACGTGCTCCTTACTGTGAACTGTCCAGCAGTGAATAAAGTTCTAAACGTTGAATAAATTTTTCTCCATAACCACAGAAATATCACACCAAAGTGTGTAAGATATTGTAGAATGATGCCATGTACATATACCTACATGTATAATTATTATTATAATGATTGTAACTTGAAAACCACAGAAATATCCCACTGTCTAGCAGCTTGAACTAATGTAAGGGACAGACACTGGTCAAATGGAATGTTTTTTGAACAGATTCAAACATTTTCTGTATTGTTTTTCAAAGTAACATTATCAAACCATGCAGAATGATCCAGATTGCATTGTATGAATTGTACCTGAATTACATTAAGACAATATTATTTGCAACATTCACTTATTGGAAAACCAACCTTGCCAAAATGTCAACTATACCAAATCAGCCCTGTCAAAGTTTTATCAAAGTGTGCAAATATTGTAGATGCATGTGCATAATATGTATATTACCAAGATGACATGTAAAATGTTCAATCCTCACAGCTGAATTAGCTTCCAATTGATGGTAAGTGTATCTAGAAAAATGTCTTGTAATTGGGATGTCAATTTTGGCAGTCTAAGAAAAAGTGAGAAGCAGAATCTATAATATACCATATAGAACTGTACAAGACTTAGTCATGATTGTAACTGGCAGCCAATATCTTACACTACCAGTCAGGGCTTGGCTAGACAGTATTTTCCTTACTTTTATTATAAGGCCACACCAAATAAATTTTATGGATGACGTCCGCGCGCGCATTGATTTTGGCCTGTTCCTAGAAAAAAAAACAAGAAATTCTGCTTCCAAAGAGTCACGACAGTGCCACAAATCGTCAGATTGACGTGAAACCCGTAACGCGAAAACAGAACAGGACGACAACTGCTGTTCCACCTGATTTATTGCTGTTTTGATGATGAATAAAAGACTTCTTGCTTGTTACACTGTGTCACCTCATTCAATTTGTGTCCTAACATTGTCGTCTCCTAGTATATTTCTAATCTAGGCATCTTGTTTTTAGGGCCCTTCTTTTTTTTCGCCCTCTCCCATTAGATTTAGGGTCTCCAAAGGACGTCATCCATAAGATTTACTTGGTGTGGCCTAATCTGGATTAGGTCAGACTACCTTCTTAATGTACTATGAGCGAGCATGATACTTCAATTCTTTGTCAGTTGAAGAGTACATGAAACTTGTCTTGGTTACTGTCATACATTTGTACATGTAGCCACTGTGACAGTAGTTCTGATAGTTTGCAGTAACTTACGTCAATTAATAATATAGATTTACAAATGTAAGTAGCTGACTTTATTTCACCGTTAATGTACAAGTACACAAGTACACAGTCAAGCATGTACTAACGTACGTGTGTATGTAATTAGCTTTTTGTGGTGTTTATGAAGTTGATGTATCATTGATTGATTAACTCTGTGTCATTTAGGGATGCTTTATTAATTACACTAAATTCAGTGCTTTACTCACATTAACAGGCTTTCGTGTGTATTTGTGTGTCTGTGTAGATGTGTGTTTGTGTGTGTGTGTGTGTGTGTGTGTGTATTTGTGTGTGTGTGTGTGTGTGTGTGTGTGTGTGTGTGTGTGTGTGTGTGTGTGTGTGTGTGTGTGTGTGTGTAAGAGAGAGTGTGTGTGTTTTGAGTGTCTGTGTGTTTGTGAAGGAGTCTGTGTGTTTGAATGTGTCTCTGCATGTGTGTAAATGAGTGGGTGGGTGACTGTGTAACTTATAATGCCCTATATGCATGCATATTTGTGTAAAGAACAAATACTGCACATGATAGTCAGCACATATCCTGATGAATATTTAACCGTCCTGTTCAATGTCCAGTCAAGGTAGCCGATTGTCATACCATGGTCAAAGTACAAAGTGTAGAAGTCATATTTGTCAAGTTACAACTCGTGACGCAGCTGTGAAATAGAGGAACAACATTTAAGCTCAGCAGGTCCAAGGAGAGAAGACATCCAACCAGCCTTGCTGTGTCTGAAGCTCTGTCTTGGAAGGAAACTTTGGATAAACTTGGAAGGTACCTCTGGACTTTTTTTAGTAGTCAGTAGAGGTACGTTATGTAACTTTATTGCCCTGATCGATGCTATCCACTGATTCCAAACAGGATAACTACATGTAAACTACTGCAATAACCTGCACCACTTTCCTAATTGTTTGTTTTTTTCAGTTTTTGTGCAGATAATCGTGAAGCCTTGGTTGTGACTGACAGCTGTCAATCTTCTCTGCACCATCATAATCTAGGTAAGTTTGGTCCCAGCAATCAACCTCGTACATCAACTAGTAAACAATTGTTAAAAGACAGAATGAATAATCTTAACTTTTTACTCTTGTAGCTTTTTCCATAGAATATCCAAAATCATATGCTAAAATGATTGTTACAATTATCACGGTATTAAACGAAGCACTTATGAATTTATGTTCGGAAAAATGAAACTGGAGTATACAAGCTCCTATAGATATCTGGGTCTCCATTTAGATGAGCACCTGACGTTTACCCCCGGTACCACCATACTTGCAGATGCAGCGGGAAGGGCTTTAGGAGGTGTACTAGGCAAAGTTAAGGTCTTAAAGGACCTAGGATTCCAAACTTATTCTGCACTTTATGATGCATGTGTGTGCCCTATATTAGATTATGCTGCAGGAGTGTGGGGTTTTAAAAAGTATGACAAATTTTAAAGTATTGTTATTCAAAATAAGGCCATCCGGTGCTTCCTTGGTGTACACCGTTTTGCACCCACCTCTGCTATAAGTATAAAGGGTGACATGGGCTGGATGCCGTGTGAGGTTAGGTGGAAGGGAGCAATGGTGTCACTCTGGAACAGACTAATGAATATGCATGAAGACAGGATCACTAAGAAAGTTTTCAGATGGGACCTACGTAACAAAGGCCCCTGGAGTACAGATTTATATGAAATATTTTGTGCTTCTGAACATGAACATGTCTTCTCAAATAGGCTCAGAGGTAATACTAGACTCATCAAGGATGTGCTGTTCTCTCAATATGAAGAAAACTGGGCCTCTGAATTATGGTCTAAACCAAAACTGAGAACTTACATGCTAATCAAAGACACATTCTCTCCAGAAAAATACGTTACTTTACCCCTTACAAGATCACAAAGATCTCTTTGTGCCCAGTTTAGATCTGGAATATTACCTTTGTGTATTGAAACGGGAAGATATCGGGGCATTCCAGAAAAGGACAGACTATGTCTGCTGTGTGATTTACAAGAAGTAGAAAATGAGGCCCACTTTATGTTTTACTGTCCGTTTTATGACAACTTACGTCAGGCACTCTTTGATAAGATGTACAAGAGGCGACCTGATCTTATCTGGGATAGGGATGAACCAAAACTGATTCAGAAGTGGTTATTTACAGAGGGAGTGTTTGAAACGGCGACGTACTTACAGCAGGCCTGGAAAAAACGTAAACTCCACATTTATTCATAACAGGCTGATCTTATTTTGTTTTACTGTCATTTTCAGTTTGGTTCTCCTCTCTCCTTGCTACGTTTACCTGTTCATTTTTCTGTAAAGTTGGTTCTCTGTATGAAACAGTCATGTGACAGTTACCTCTTGTTACTTTTATCCATTATCAATTTTGGTTGAACCTAAATTATTATTATTTATCATCTATGTTACAGTTGATTTGATTTCTGTATGTGACCAGTACTATTTAATTTCCTGTATTTATTATGTATTATGTTAAGTTATAATTTATGTTACATCTGATTCTCTGTACCTTTTGATTTGTTTTGATTTTGTATTTTGTCGGTGCCTTATAAGCCCATATGGGCTGGGCGGCATATTGATCGCAATGGCACGATAATAAACAGTCATTCATTCATTCATTCATTCATTCATTCATTCATTCATTGGTTCCAGGTTTGACATCCCAAGTGTACAGTTGCGGCTGGGGAATAGCTTACGGGTGTCAATTTTCACAACAACCGTATCGAGGTGAGTTTGATCCTACAAGACTTGTCAAAGTACACAGTCAAATGAAGTGTTATATTCTTTATGACTTTCAAGTCAAACATGCACTGTATAGTATCTGTATCCATACATTGTACCATGTGCAATTGTCGTGCAATAAAGTTATAAGATTAGTGGTCAATATCATGTCAATATGACATGCCTTACATCTCGTACCAGGAAAAAAACCTGCATGATGAAAAAGAAGCCAGCAGGTGTGCTGATGTTCCTCCTGGTCATCCTTAAGGTGTTGGGAACAGCAGAAGCCTGCAGATGTACAGCTTCAGCCTGTGACTGCGGATTTCAGGGCCTCACCAGTGTTCCTCAGGACCTGCCGACAAACATCACATGGCTGGATTTGAGAGGGAATCAAATCACATTAAGTCAGTCTGATTTCTCGCGTTATAGGAGCTTAGAGATTTTAGATCTTAGATGGAATCACATTTCTACTATCAACAGCCAGGCATTTTATTACTTGTCAAACTTGACCACATTATCGCTTTCAGGTAACAGTCTAACAATCCTCAGACCTGACATGTTTGTAGGGCTGGGAAACTTGGAGGACCTTTGGCTGCCAAATAATGACATCAGTGATATTCAGGCTGGAACTTTCAATTCAACACCACAACTGAGAAAGTTGCACCTGTATCATAACAAGTTAACAACCCTCAGATCTGACATGTTATCAGGGCTGGGAAACTTGGAGGACCTTTATCTGAACAATAATAACATCAGTGATATTCAGGCTGGAACTTTCAATTCAACACCACAACTGAGAAGGTTGCACCTGTATAATAACAAGTTAACACACCTTAGATCTGACATGTTCACAGGGCTGGGAAACTTAGAGACACTTGATTTAGACCATAATAAGATCACTGATATTCAGGCTGGAACTTTTAATTCAACACCACAACTGAGAACCTTACACCTTCGTTATAACAAGTTACCAACCCTCAGATCTGACATGTTATCAGGGCTGGGAAACTTGGAGACACTTGAATTACATTTTAATGAGATCAGTGATATTCAGGCTGGAACTTTTAATTCAACACCACAACTGAGAAGGCTGGAACTGTATAACAACAAGTTAACAAGCCTCAGAGCTGACATGTTCACAGGGCTGGGAAACTTGAAGGAACTTTGGCTGTACAATAATGACATCAGTGATATTCAGCCTGGAACCTTCAGTCCAACACCACAACTGAGAAAATTTGACCTGGCTCATAACAAGTTAACAATCCTCAGATCTGACATGTTCACAGGGCTGGGAAACTTAGAGAACCTTAATCTATACGATAATGACATTACTGATATTCAGGCTGGAACTTTTGATCATACACCACAACTGAAAAACTTGGCCCTGCATTACAACAAGTTAACAACCCTTAGATCTGGCATCCTTAAGGTGTTGGGAGCAGCAGAAGCCGACTTAAGATGCACAGCTTCAGCCTGTGACTGCAGCGGTCAGGGTCTCACCAGTGTTCCTCAGGACCTGCCGACAAACATCACATGGCTGGATTTGGGAAGTAATAGAATCACAACGTTAAGTCAGTCTGATTTCTCACGTTATAGGAGCTTAGAAGATTTAGAACTTGATAACAATCACATTTCTACTATCAACAGCCAGGCATTCTATCACTTGTCAAACTTGACTAGATTATTGCTTCATGGGAACCGGCTAACAATCCTCAGAGCTGACATGGTCACAGGGCTGGGAAATGTGCAGAGCCTTACTCTAAGCGATAATAACATTACTGATATTCAGGCTGGAACTTTCAATCCAACACCACAACTGGGACGCTTGAGCCTGGAGTACAACAAGTTAACAACCCTGAGACCTGACATGTTCACAGGGCTGGGAAACTTGTGGGGACTTTCTCTATCCTATAATGAGATCAGTGATATTCAGGATGGAACTTTTAATTCGATACCACAACTGAAAAGGCTGCAACTGTATAACAACAAGTTAACAACCCTTAGATCTGACATGTTCACAGGGCTGGGAAATTTGTGGGGCCTTTCGCTGCACAGTAATGAGATCAGTGATATTCAGGATGGAACTTTTAATTCGATACCACAACTGAGAAGGCTGTACCTGTCTGGCAACAAGTTAACAACCCTCAGATCTGACATGTTCACAGGGCTGGGAAACTTGGAGGGGCTTTACATGTACAGTAATGAGATCAGTGATATTCAGGCTGGAACTTTCAATCCAACACCACAACTGAGATGGCTGAAACTGTCTAACAACAAGTTAACAACCCTCAGATCTGACATGTTCACAGGGCTGGGAAACTTGGAGTGGCTTTGGCTGTACAATAATGACATCAGTGATATTCAGGCTGGAACTTTCAATCCAACACCACAACTGAGAAACTTAGACCTTAGTTATAACAAGTTAACAACCCTCAGATTTGACATGTTCACAGGGCTGAGGAACTTACAGTCACTTGAAGTACAACATAATGACATCACAGATATTCAGTCTGGAACTTTTATCTCAACACCACAACTGAGAATCTTGTACCTGGACAACAACCACATTCAAACCATTCCATCTAACTTACTGGCAAATCTGCTGTTCCTGAAACTGTCTGATAACAGCATCACAACCCTTCCCTCTGTGGCCCATGACATACTTTCATCCATCTCTACTGTAATCATTGGCAACAACCCCTGGCAGTGTGACTGTAGGATGGTTGACTTCAGGCTGAAAATGACAGGGTCTTATCTCTGGTCTTATGAAAACCAGATCACTTGTTCCCAACCTGACAGCCTCATTGGGCTAAAGCTTAATCATGTCAGTCCTGAAGATCTGATCTGTGAAGGTCCAACAACTGGTTTGATGTCCCCAGTTACTTCCCCTCCACCTACCACCGTAGCTACGGAGATCCCAGAACCCAGTACTGTCCAGAACTCTTCTATAACATCTTCACCTGTTTCTGGTGTCTTTTCACCTTCAAAACAAACCGACCCTGCGCTCACTTTGTCCCTACCTGCACTTCTTGGTGCTGTTTTTGGTTCAGTAGCAGGTGCTGCCCTCATCATCGGTGGCATCATTTTTTACAATCAGACTGAACAAGTAGAGGAAGAACAATACTCCTCCCTGATGCCTGCACCAAAATGCTTTCCACTGTACAAACACTAGCTGTTAACTGCAAGTAAGGCCATTACTGCCCTAATTTTATGGATTACATCTTCTAAAGACCCCCAAACTAGCGCGTGGGCGAATTAAAAAAAAATCCCGCCCAAAAACTGGAATACAAAGCTGGTATTGTGAATTTGCGGTACACAGTGATTTTTACAAGCCAGCACATGCTGGTCTTTTATGAGTCGGCACTGTACTGATTTCTTGGGTTCCGAGGGACTTCAGCAGCCTGGGTGCCGTCATCCATAGTTACAACTGGCTCCCTACATGTAGCTACCATGGACTACAGAGGATGGCACCCAGGCCAGAGCGTCAGAGGTGATGATTTTTTTTGAGAACAGGGAAAATCGTGGATGTTATCCATAATATTAAATCAGTGTGGCCTAATAGGTATAATACCGGTGCAATAGCTCAATTGGTAGAGTGCTCGCTTTGTAACCGGGAGGTCGTGAGTTCAAACCCCGGCCGGGTCATACCAAAGACTTTAAAAATGGTACACACTTCTTTCTCTGCTTAGCACTCAGCACATATGAGAAAGAGTGTGGGAAGGTCAAACACACAGCACTACCAGTGGACCAGCCCCCTGCTGTAGTGCATTGCACAACTGTGTGTCGCCCAAGGGCTACAGAAATGGATATGGGCACCACCCTACGCCTCTGCATAAGGGCATGGGAGACCTTTCCTTTCCTAATAGGTATGATATAATGAAAGAGAGATGAAGTCCCCTGATCCCTTCAAATGGAACCTTGCATTGTGAGCTCTAGACCCAGCCAGACACACATGCAGATCCAACATAAACTTTAGTTTGGACAATCATACTAATTGATGCATTTTGTCCTACTCAGCGCATAATGTGTTGAAAATGTTCACTTGTAAAAGGATGACTTAGATTTAGCAGATCACTCTATAAGTCTAAATACAACAAACCCTTTAGAATCTTATACCAGTGTGCGACTGCCAGATATATGATTTTATATAAGAGGACATTTTCCTATCATATGATTGGATAGAGGTGCTAATATAGTTCCTGAAAATTTTGGTAGACTAAAATCTGTATGACGGACTCCAGACCAACTTCCTACTGTGGGGTCGTGTGGCGCAGTCGGTAAGCGCGTTTGGCTCACACCCGAGAGGTCGTGGGTTCGAACCCTGCCCATGTCACCGATCTTGTGCCCTTGGGAAAGGCACTTTACACGACTTTCCTCACTTCACTCAGGTGTAAATGAGTACCTAGCTTCGGCTAGGGACGTCCCTCGGATAGGATGTTAAATGGAGGTCCCGTGTTTGGGAGAGCCACACCCCACGCACGTTAAAGAACCCACCGCACTTATCGAAAAGAGTAGGGGACCTTCCCGGTGCGAGTGGTTCAAGCCTTACAGTCTGGTCTCGGGGGTTGACATCTTTGAAGAGGTGATAGTCACCTGTTATATCAATCCTTCCACAAATGTGGTAAATCGTCATTAAATAAAAAAATTGGTTTCTGGGAACTTCCTATGTCAGACCTTCTGTGGTCTGTGGTTAGGGAATTCCTCCACCCACATGTGTCACTCAATTGTACGAACACACAGTCAGACACACACAAACACACAAAAACAATATCCTCCATACATGGAGGCAAAAACCAGCCTGAATATCATTTATGCAGCCAATATGTAATATAGCTGTCCTTGAGGCTACATATTACATGGTCCCTACATTTGATAATATCCTTGAAAATCCATTTTCTCAGCCCAGAGCACAGCCATAAGGGCATGCTCCTTACTGTGAACTGTCCAGCAGTGAATAAAGTTCTAAATGTTGAATAAACTGTTCTCCATAACCACAGAAATATCACACCAAAGTGTGTAAAATGTAGGATGCATGTACATGTATAATTGTTATTATAATGATTGTAACTTGAAAACCACAGAAATATCCCAGACTGTCTAGCAGCTTGAACTAAATGTAAGGGACAGATACTGGGCAAATGGAATGTTTTTTGAACAGATTCAAACATTTTCTGTATTGTTTTTCAAAGTAACATTATCAAACCATGCAGAATGATCCAGATTACATTGTATGAATTGTACCTGAATTACATTAATACAATATTATTTGCAACATTCACTTATTGGAAAACCAACCTTGCCAAAATGTCAACTATACCTGATCAGCCCTGTCAAAGTTTTATCAAAGTGTGCAAATATTGTAGATGCATGTGCATATTATGTATATTACCAAGATGACATGTAAAATGTTCAATCCTCACAGCTGAATTAGCTTTCATCGTAAGTGTATCTAGAAAAATGTCTTGTAATTGTGATGTCAATTTTGGCAGTCTAAGAAAAAGTGAGAAGCAGAATCTATAATATACCATATAGAACTGTACAAGACTTAGTCATGATTGTAACTGCCTGGCAATGTCTTACACTACCAGTCAGAGCTTGCCTAGACAGTATTGTCCTTACTTTTATTATAAGGCCACACCAAGTAAATTTTATGGATGACGTCCGCGCGTGCATTGATTTTGGCCTGTTCCTAGAAAAAAAAAAAAGAAATTCTGCTTCCAAAGAGTCACGACAGTGCCACAAATCGTCAGATTGACGTGAAACCCGTAACGCGAAAACAGAACAGGACGATAACTGCTGTTCCACCTGATTTATTGCTGTTTTGATGATGAATAAAATTCTTCTTGCTTGTTACACTGTGTCACCTCATTCAATTTGTGTCCTAACATTGTCGTCTCCTAGTATATTTATAATCTAGGCATCTTGTTTTTTAGGGCCCTTCTTTTTTTTTTCGCCCTCTCGCATTAGATTTAGGGTCTCCAAAGGACGTCATCCATAAGATTTACTTGGTGTGGCCTAATCTGGATTAGGTCAGACTACCTTCTTAATGTATTATGAGCGAGCACAATACTTCAATTCTTTGTCAGTTGAAGAGTACATGAAACTTGTCTTGGTTACTGTCATACATTTGTACATGTAGCCACCGTGACAGTAGTTCTGATAGTTTGCAGTTACTTACGTCAATTAATAATATAGATTTACAAATGTAAGTAGCTGACTTTATTTCACCGTTATTTTGTACAAGTACACAAGTACATAGTCAAGCATATACTAAACGTACTTAATGTAATTAGCTTTTTGTGGTGTTTATGAAGTTGATGTATCATTGATTAGTCTTTATATGATTAACTTTGTGTCATTTAGGGATGCTTTATTAATTACACTAAATTCAGTGCTTTACTCACATTAACAGGCTTTCGTGTGTGTTTGTGTGTCTGTGTAGATGTGTGTTTGTGTGTGTGTGTGTGTTTGTTTATTTGTGTGTGTTTGTTCCTTATTTACCGCCCATGAACAGATAGAATGAGCCTCCGATACAAAACAAGCAACCTTTTTCCATCAGTGACTTTGCATTTTTTCCTCACAGACTTCAGTATGCTACAGATAGAATAGGATTGCTTTAACTTGAATGGCCAGAAAATTGACCTAGTTTGAAAATCCAGTTTTGCCGCCCTGAAATTGCATTGGATGTCTTTAATGTCGACACATTCTGATGAATATTTAACCATTAATGCCAATGTAGTCAAGGCAGCAATGCCGTAACAGGAGCAAGGTGCAAGTCTGACTAGTTTAGTCACTGCTGTTTGCCACGTACATGTAAGTGTGAGAACTACAAACTAGATATTCCACAGGCTTTTTTGTAAAGAAGACAGAAGAATTCCTCCAAACCGTCCTGGGAAGAAATTGTCAGTAGACGACTGAGTGTCCATGCAGCTTGGTTTGAGAGGTTAGTTATACACCCTTTGGCGTAACACACCAGCTTCTGTATCTGTATAGCCGGTATAACTGCCCTTCAGTGTAACACACCAGCTTCTGTATCTGTATATCCGGTATAACTGCCCTTCTTCGTAACACACCAGCTTCTGTATCTGTATAGCCGGTATAACTGCTCTTCAGCGTAACACACCTGTCCAGCTTCTGTATCTGTATAGCCGGTATAGCCGGTATAACCGCCCTTCGGCGTAACACACCAGCTTCGCAGGCACGCGGCGCGGTGGCAGCTAGCTATATCACACCGAACGACTTGTTACACTCAATCTTTGCACATTTAATTGCAGGAGTTGTTTAAAGCTTTCTAGTGATGATGCCCCAACTGTGCTTGGTGGCAACGAGTTCCAGTCTACAATAGTTTCTGAACTACGAGTTTCTGAACACCTCAATTCTTGGTTGATAACTCTGATATTTGAAGGCATGACTGTTTCTTGTTCTTTTCTGGGCTGGTGTCAGATACTTAGTGGTTGGTACGTCCACCAGTTTATTAGTCATTTTGTACATCATTTTGTACATCAGTCTCAACATTCTACAGCTGTCTTCCAGAGACCCCCACTGTAGGTTTCTTTTCATTTCCGTTACACTAGCACCCTTTTCATAGTTGTTTGTGCAGAATCTTGCAGCTTGGTTCTGTACCCTTTCCAGTTTCGTCTTTCTTTGTATATGGAACCCATACTGTTGCGACATATTTAGGTTCGGTCTTACAAGCGACGTGTATGCAAGGTGTATGCAAGTGATTTTACCCTTGTTGGACATGACCACAGATTGCGCTTATCCGTAATCACTCCCAATGTCTGTTTGGTCTTCGCAGTGATGTTGTTAACATGCGTGCCCCACTTCAGACTACATTTTGTACTTGTCAATGTAACACCGAGATACGGATGGGTTTTTGTTGTTGCCAAAGCTTGACCACAGAATAGGTAGCTAGTTATATTTGAGGTTTGTTTCTTTGTGATATGCATAATGTACATATTGTAGCATTTTTCTGGATTAAACTGCATCTCTATTGAGCAAATCATTTGCTTGTATTGTATATGTTGTCAGTATCACGTCAATATGACATACCTTACATCTCGTACCAGGAAAAAAACCTGCATGATGAAAAAGAGGCCAGCAGGTGTGCTGATGTTCCTCCTGGTCATCCTTAAGGTGTTGGTGGGAACAGCAGAAGCTGCCTGCAGCTGCACAGCTTCAGTCTGTCACTGCCACATCCGGGGCCTCACCAGTGTTCCTCAGGACCTGCCGACAACCATTACACGGCTGAATTTGAAATGGAATCAAATCACAACCATAAGTCAGTCTGATTTCTCACGTTATAGGAGATTAGAGACTTTATGGCTTAATGACAATCGCATTTCTACTATCAACAGCCAGGCATTCTATCACCTGTCAAACCTGACCACATTATGGATTTCAGGTAACCGTCTAACTATCCTCAGACCTGACATGTTTGTAGGGCTGGAGAACTTGGAGGAACTTTATCTGCGCAGTAATGACATTAGTGATATTCAGGCTGACAGTTTTAATCCAACACCACAACTGAGAACCTTGTACCTGTATAATAACAAGTTAACACACCTTAGATCTGACATGTTCACAGGGCTGGGGAACTTGGAGGAACTTTATCTGGTATATAATGACATCACTGATATTCAGGCTGGAACTTTCAATCCAACACCACAACTGAGATGGTTGTTCCTGTATAAGAACAAGTTAACAACCCTCAGATCTGACATGTTCACAGGGCTGGGGAACTTGGAGGGACGTCTTGATCTATCCTATAATGAGATTAGTCATATTCAGGCTGAAACTTTCAATCCAACATCACCAGGACTGCAAAAGTTGTACCTGCATAACAACAAGTTACCACACCTTAGATCTGACATGTTCACAGGGCTGGGAAACTTGGAGTGGCTTCGGCTGGACAATAATGAGATCACAGACATTCAGGCTGGGACTTTCAATCCTATGCCACAACTGAGATACTTGTTCCTGTCCAACAACCAAATTCATTCCATTCCATCCAACTTACTGACAAATTTACTGCAACTTACAGAACTCAAATTATCTGAAAACAACATCACAATGTTTCCCTTTGAAGACTTGTTAAAGATTCAAACAATTTCTGTTATTTACCTTGACAATAACCAAATGACAACTCTTTCGTCCATAGCCTATGAGATACTCAATTCCATCTCTGATGTTAACATTGACAACAACCCCTGGCAGTGTGACTGTAGGATGGTTGGCTTTAGGCTAAAAATGACAGGGTCACGTCCTTTTGAAAACCAAATTAATTGTTCCCATCCTGAAAACCTCAATGGACTAAAACTTGTAGACATCAACCCAGAAAATCTTTTCACAAACTGTCAAGAACCAACAATTGTAAGATTTGAGAAGAGCAAGGATAACATTCTGTTACAAGGAGGTACTCTGTATTTATTCTGTGAAGCTTCAGGAATACCCACACCTGACATCACAGTCATTCTCCCATCTGGACACAATGCTACCTTAGAGTCAGTTGGGAGGGTGACTGTGGACATGAACGGTAACATCACCATAAGAGATGTTACTGCTGCAGATGCTGGTCTCTATGCTTGTGTTGCAAGAAGCCCTGTGGGCTCCATGAATGCCGTTCTTATTGTAAATATAGTCTATGAAGAGCCAACAATTTTCAGGTTTGAGCAAAGCGAAGATAACCCACTGGTAGAGGGAGGGACTATCCATTTGTTCTGTGAAGCTACAGGTATCCCCACACCAGATATTACAGTCATTCTCCCATCTGGGCAAAATGCTACTGTCGCATCGGTTGGTAGAGTAACTTTGGTGCAGAATGGTAGAATCATGATAGCCAATATAACGGCAGCAGATGCTGGTCTGTATGTTTGTATTGCAGTAAATCCCGTTGGGTCCACTTTTGCCACCCTGGTTGTAGACTTACAAACAGTGCAAACAACTGTTTTACCACCTTTACAGACGTCACCTCTTGCTACAACCTCAAGCAACCAAGAAAGCATTACTGACCTGGACTCTGCTACAACCTCCTTCTCTCCACCTGTTTCTGTTGCCTCTTCACCTTCAAAACAGCCTGGATCTGTCTCCAGTTTCTCCTTGCCTGTCCTCCTTGCCGCTATCTGTGGTTCGGTAACCGGTACCCTGTTTATCGGTGGCATTATTCTCGCTATCTGGTGCAAAAGAAACAACAGCCAGGGTCCTCCCAAACGCCCAGACTTCAGCGTTGTATTTAACAACACCAACACCACAACTACTGTGATAACCAACGGGCACAATCTGACAGGGCAAACTCAGCCCCAACCAACTCGGCCACCCTCCTCCCAGTTTGAGCCTTATGAAGACGTGCAGCCTCCCCCAAGTTTTGCAGTTCCAAGCCAGACCGCTAGAGGGCAGGCCCTCCGACCACCCAACAGGAACAGCAATGAACCTCCCCCAGTCCCCCCTCCCCGCACAGCCAGTGCTACTGGGTATGAGAATATCCCCGAGCATGCCTACCAGCCTCTGGCAGTCACTAGGAATCAGCCTGACGCTTTTCATCACTACCAGTCACTCAGAAGGACCTAGATAGATTCTGTAAGTTTTTTACAACCAAAAGATTTAATTCCCACCCTTAAGATGGAAAAAGCCAATTACTACTAGTAGACAAACAACCAGCCTGAATGTCACACAATGTCACTATTCAAGTTAGTGCTGCATGTCATAGTTACATGTAGTCTAAACACTCTCAGCTTGTACAGCCTTTATATACGTATAGAGATAAATGTAAGACAGTCACTCAGAAGAACATAAATTAGATCCTGAAAATTTTCAAAACTCCCACCCTTAATTAAGATAAAACAAGCCAATTAGACAAGACTAAAAATCCAGCCTGAATGTCACACAGTTATTTTCAAGAGTCAGCGATGCATGATTGTGATAGTTACATACAAGTACAGTCAAAACACTCTTACTCTTAGCTAATGTACAGGCTTATGGTGATAGCAAGAGATAGGAATAGCCATCTAATGATAACCTAGTAATTTGTTGTAGTCATGATTGGATGAAAATAATATTGTAGTCAGAAGGATCTATTTCTAAAAGCATTTTGTTGGTTTGGTCATATTCATTGTTCAGAAGCTTAAATGATTTGAAGAACTTTAACAAATAGAATCTCATAAATTGTAAAAAGTCATGTCATATTTTGTGTTTTGTTTTTCTTTCTCATAGAAAGCTAAATATTTCTCAAACATGATGAAAAGTTTTGTTACCTATTGTTTTGTATGTGGTGTTTATGAAGTCTTTGTATTGTCAGTGTTGTGTGTGTGTGTGTGACACTGTATGTGTGTGTGTGTGTGTGTGTGTGTGTGACACTGTATGTGTGTGTGTGTGACACTGTATGTGTGTGTGTGTGTCTGTGTGTGTCTGTGTGTGTGTCTGTGTGTGCGTGTGTTTGTGTGTGTATGTGTGTGTGTTTGTGCGTGTGTGTGTTTGTGCATGTGTTTGTGTGAGTGTGTGCATGTACATGTTTGTGTGTGTGTGTGTGTGTGTGTGACACTATGTGTGTGTGTGTGTCTGAGTGTGTGTGTGTGTGTGTGTGCATGTGTGTGTTTGTGCGTGTGTGTGATTGTGCATGTGTTTGTGTGAGTGTATGCATGTACATGTTTGTGTGTGTGTGTGTGTGTGTGACACTGTATGTGTGTGTGTGTGTGTGTGTGTGTGAGTGTGTTTGTGTGTGTGTGTGACA